GTGACAGGAAGGGGTGCAAAACCAGGGAGTTGGCCTGACTCCCAAATATACAGGGAGTGCAGAATTATTAGGCAAATGAGTATTTTGACCACATCATCCTCTTTATGCATGTTGTCTTACTCCAAGCTGTATAGGCTCGAAAGCCTACTACCAATTAAGCATATTAGGTGATGTGCATCTCTGTAATGAGAAGGGGTGTGGTCTAATGACATCAACACCCTATATCAGGTGTGCATAATTATTAGGCAACTTCCTTTCCTTTGGCAAAATGGGTCAAAAGAAGGACTTGACAGGCTCAGAAAAGTCAAAAATAGTGAGATATCTTGCAGAGGGATGCAGCACTCTTAAAATTGCAAAGCTTCTGAAGCGTGATCATCGAACAATCAAGCGTTTCATTCAAAATAGTCAACAGGGTCGCAAGAAGCGTGTGGAAAAACCAAGGCGCAAAATAACTGCCCATGAACTGAGAAAAGTCAAGCGTGCAGCTGCCACGATGCCACTTGCCACCAGTTTGGCCATATTTCAGAGCTGCAACATCACTGGAGTGCCCAAAAGCACAAGGTGTGCAATACTCAGAGACATGGCCAAGGTAAGAAAGGCTGAAAGACGACCACCACTGAACAAGACACACAAGCTGAAACGTCAAGACTGGGCCAAGAAATATCTCAAGACTGATTTTTCTAAGGTTTTATGGACTGATGAAATGAGAGTGAGTCTCGATGGGCCAGATGGATGGGCCCGTGGCTGGATTGGTAAAGGGCAGAGAGCTCCAGTCCGACTCAGACGCCAGCAAGGTGGAGGTGGAGTACTGGTTTGGGCTGGTATCAACAAAGATGAGCTTGTGGGGCCTTTTCGGGTTGAGGATGGAGTCAAGCTCAACTCCCAGTCCTACTGCCAGTTCCTGGAAGACACCTTCTTCAAGCAGTGGTACAGGAAGAAGTCTGCATCCTTCAAGAAAAACATGATTTTCATGCAGGACAATGCTCCATCACACGCGTCCAAGTACTCCACAGCGTGGCTGGCAAGAAAGGGTATAAAAGAAGAAAATCTAATGACATGGCCTCCTTGTTCACCTGATCTGAACCCCATTGAGAACCTGTGGTCCATCATCAAATGTGAGATTTACAAGGAGGGAAAATAGTACACCTCTCTGTACAGTGTCTGTGAGGCTGTGGTTGCTGCTGCACGCAATGTTGATGGTGAACAGATCAAAACACTGACAGAATCCATGGATGGCAGGCTTTTGAGTGTCCTTGCAAAGAAAGGTGGCTATATTGGTCACTGATTTGTTTTTGTTTTGTTTTGAATGTCAGAAATGTATATTTGTGAATGTTGAGATGTTATATTGGTTTCACTGGTAATAATAAATAATTGAAATGGGTATATATTTGTTTTTTGTTAAGTTGCCTAATAATTATGCACAGTAATAGTCACCTGCACACACAGATATCCCCCTAACATAGCTAAAACTAAAAACAAACTAAAAACTACTTCCAAAAATATTCAGCTTTGATATTAATGAGTTTTTTTGGGTTCATTGAGAACATGGTTGTTGTTCAATAATAAAATGAATCCTCAAAAATACAACTTGCCTAATAATTCTGCACTCCCTGTATAATTGAAACCAGGGGGTTGCCCTCACCTGAACATGCATAAATGGGTGCTTCTGGAGCCAATTTATACAATACACAAGATCCAGCACACTCACCTATCCACTAAACAGCAACTTCAAAGCTCACAATTTTATTAGTCTTTTAGTTTTTTTCAAAACACCTAAAAATAATTGGGGTTTAGTTACAGTGTATGATCATAATGCATAAGCCTGCCACAACGTTTTGGCAGGTCCTACTCTATCAGTCTAATGTCTGCTCTTATGAGATTAACCCACTTACTTGGGGAAAAAATACATATATAAGAAAGTCGCAATAGCCTGCACTATAGGGTAGTAAAGATGTATTTAGCCGGGTGCTGTTTTGTTATAAATACACTGCTGCTTGAACGGTTGGCTTGTTATACTGATGAGAGTTTATTAACTAAACCAGTGGTAGTCAACCTTTTTCTACCTACCGCCCACTAATGCATCTTTTTGGTTGAAAAAAATTCCTTACCGCCCACCAGTTTTCGCGCAAGTGCAGAAGATTTTTTAGAAAGGAGGGTGTTTTAAAAAAAATAAATGTACATACATTTATCTTTTTATTTCTACTTAATGCATGTTTATAATGTTTTTAACTTTATAAAGTTTAATGGGAAAACAATAAAGTAAATTGAAATGACCTTTACTAGTGATTAATGAGATGCTTGAGGTTGATGCTGCAAGACTAAATATTTGATATCTGGTTTGATTTTCATAAGGAACAAACGAAGGTCTCCTCTTTCGGTGATATTAAGATGACTTCTCTGTTTGCTCATAATATGATTTCTCATCTGTGCGTCAGCTCCCCTCCCGCCTCAATTCCCCTCCCCACCTTTTTTTCCCCCTTTTTATTTTAAATTTTTTAACCTTCCTTATAGCAATGCCCAGTAGGAAGTCTGAGCTAGGTATCCCACTTACTATTACTTACTATAGCCCACTATAACAGACAAGCACACATACATACATACAGACACACACAGACATGCATACAGACACACATAAGACACACATACAAAGGCACATACACATAGACAGACACAAGACACATACACATACTACACACATACATACAAAGACACATACACACACAACACATACATACAAAGACACATACAAAGACCCATACAAAAACACACATAAGTACAAAGACACATACATAAGACACACATACACACATACAGACACACACACACATATAGAGACATACACACATACATACAAAGATACAGACACACATACAGACACACACACACATAGACACAGACACACACACAGACACACACACACAGACACACACACACAGACACACACACATACAGACACACACATACAGACACACACACACACAAGACATACATACAAAGACACATACACAAACAAACACACACAAAATATTTTAGTCACCCTCCTGTTTCCTACCTTTTAGGTGCAGGAGGGTGGCTTTCCCTGGGTTCCAGTGGTGGCTCAGGTGGATGGGAGTCAGAGTGGGTCTTCCTCCCGAGCGGCTCTCAGTGTTAGCTGGGAGGAGTGACGTGCAGTCACTTCCTCCCAGCTCTGTGCTGTTAAAGCACCCAGCGCTGACTGGGCCCCCTTACAATCCACATCCATCTAGTGGCCGCAAATTGTGATGGCGGTACCCGGTCGCAGGGGTACCGCCAGCTCGCACCCGCCCGGTCTCTCAAAATTAGAAAATCCCTACCGCCCACCTGGAATCTTGGAGTGCTATTATTCAAAGTGTATATATAATATATATAACTTGGAGGAATATCTGTACTCTAGGGTATAACAATAAAACTTATCTCGTATTAAAGATCAACGTATCAGATGTAATATAGATCCGAAATGTTGATCCTTAATAAAACTTGTGTTTTTGGTTCTTTTAACAAATTTGTGATTGTTATCCAATTTTTCCACATTTATAAATATTCTACACATATATATTATGTGTTATCTGTGTGCACACCACATATAACTATTTAAATCTATTGCCTGGAATTATCTGTACATCTATATCATCTCGGAATAAAGTCAATATTAAATGAGCAATTTTAACGCAATTGCATTAAAAATGCACTATGGAAGACAAACATTGAACATGACAAAAGGTTAGACCATGGTTAATGTCATATCTTGCTCACCTTGAACAAGTCAGTTTATCTTGATTTGCTGCAGGTGATAAAATTAGATTGCAATCTGTTTGAAGTTGGATTTCATGGGGAGTTTTTTTTACAGTGTACACACAATGTAACAGAAATTATTATTATTAATGTTTTACCTATAGTAAAGCTAACCTCCCCACTTTCATAACACAGTTAACTTTTAACTCCTTAATCAAGTTGTCTTGCGCAATAAAAATAATTCTAGCAACAGATGGATTGCATGCCCAGCCATTGTTTGAAGGTATAATTAACATATTGCTCTTGACAACCACAACACATATATATAGAAATCATAAGCCTCCCCTCAAAAAGCAGGAATATCTTGTTTTACTCTAATTGGTTTTGCATTGCTCTTAATAGTAATGCAGTTTGGTTCTGGGCATAAGATTGTATCATGTGTTGCATTCAGTCCTACAGAGTTGCCATTTAAATGGGTTCTCCTGTTTCCACTTATCTCTGTCTATCAGCTGCATCCAAATTGGACAGAATTGATATAGATAATGTGGGGTATAGGTTCACAGCATCAAGCCAGTTGAATAGGGGACAGACTCTGAGTTCCAGGGAGAGAAACAGTTTTTGTAAAACCTCTCACAATAAATCTGACAATAAAATGGTGATGGGGGCGGGGCTTGGACGCCATACTGAACGGTCACAGGTTGCATGTGCTCCTGCTTCAAACCGACTAAATAGCAACTTTTGGGACAAAATACCCCAATACCGAATCTCCTCCGGATGTTACATTCACCTGGTATGGCTGGGGCAACGTTTGGGAGAATACTGGCACCCTAAAATCAGCTAACCGACAGCTGCGGCCTTCGGCTAGTAGAGGCCTGGTAGATTCCTGACGGGAGAAATGGCCGTTCTCTCAGCCTGGGTCTGCGTGATCCTTCTCTTGAGTGGATACTCAGAGCCTCGTACCTTTGGGCCGGTGGGGGTTATCCTGGCCCCCACCAAACAGGCACTTACCTCACACTCGACACGAAGCCTTTCCAAAATGGCCGAGGACAACGACAGGCGTGATGAGCAGACGACCCAAGATGGCTGGATGGCAGGATTCCTGCAACGGTTTGACACCATGTGCCGACAATTCTGTGAGGGATGGGAGAAAAAGCGACAGCAACCCTCACCTCCTACGCCTGAAACACAGCCTTCAGTCAGAGGTCTGGTTCGGCGACCCCTTACTAGGTGGCGAATCAAGAGGGCCCGAGCGCCCACCCGTAGTCCACGCACCAGAGTGGTACAGCCTCGTCCGGATACCCGCAGATGTCTCCATGTGAAGGAGAGAGAGGTCGTATACATTGCAGAAAGGTTCCTGAAAACATTTGGGACAGTTGCGACACTGCATGCTGCGGCGCCACGGGAGGCACGAATCGGCCTGCACACCTGCTGGGACTCGGCCTGCCACTTACAGGCATAGTTTGAGGGAACCCTTCATATTGCAGCCGTCTGGTCTGACAGGAGACCTGGGCTAAAGGCCGCTTGATTAATTTGTCTCGCATCCCTAAGCTTATCTAGCTCATATCTGCAGCATGGTTTCTATAGGCTTGCTTTATGCTCCTTGGTGGTTATACGCTCACATGCCAGAAATCTACTCTGTGGAGCACACCATTTAGTATTATACCTCTTCCTGACTAGCTGTTGTTCATGCTTTCTTAATTGTGTTTTTTGTCCTTAGTTTATGTTTTAAAACAATGCAGAACACTATATTCTATTATACAATACACACATCGAGGTTTTGCTCTCTTGATTGCTAACCCCAGAGAATTTACTGATAGGGGTTCACTTGCAGACAAGGCATAAATTGGGCTCCCCTAGCTGGTAATGTACTGGTCTTAGTGACCACCTTATCCAGAGCACCCTTGAGACTCAGTGTTCAGACCCAAGGGGCACCTTAATAGAGCTCCAGTGGTTTGCCTACATGTAACTCATCTGCACAACATTACTGTTTAGCTTACAGCCAGTTTCCTACATGTCTATCTGACATCTACAGATTGATGATTTCCTAGTAACACAACACCCTAGACATGTGCATAGCATGATTTTATTTCATCTTAATTTTCTTTTATAACAATGCGCCATTCACCGTATTGCCATGATTTTGTTTTATGTGTACCTTGAGAATAATTGACAATACTGCGCAGTGGTATCGTAAGCTTGTTACCCTAGCCTGAATGTCTATGTTTTAAAAAATTATTCTGTCATCTGCAGGTCTTGATGTGGTACTTCTTGGTTGATCTTATTGGGCTTGTTTAAGCATGATAAAATACAAAATGGGATGTCAAACGAAAAAAAAAAAATCAGCTATCTTCCTACTTGACAGTGGCGCGCAATAACCATATCGCACCTTGTTACATGCTGTTGTTTTTTTTTGTTTGTTTGTTTTGTTTTTTGGTTTTTTTTTTTCTGTTTAGTTCTACTATTAGCACTATGTTGATTCTTGTTGTGGAAATAAAATATGAATATATACACATATAACCTTGTAGTTAGTAAAATGTCTATTTACCCATTGCACTGAAATCATTTTAGACAAAATGGCTGCTAGAAGTTTCTAACCCCTCCCTCCTTATAACCTCGAATAACTACCTCGTGTAACAAGATGGCGCTGAGATCTGGGGGAGATCCTCATGGTTTCAGTGACATCACCTCTAGTAGGCAGAGCACTAAGATAACTACTTAACACCTAACCAATTGATACCGTATTATTTCATGTTATCTCTGACAATGCTTGTGATGTAATTTTACTTTAAAAGGGACTTGCCGTCCCCTCTGAATAAACATTCCTCAAGTTATTCAACTACCTGAAACTTGTGTCTGGTGTGAATTACTTCAGGGAGCGTGCACGCATTGTTTCATTAATTTGGTCAGGGGCAGATACACAAAGAATAATCAATCGGTTGAGTTGATTTCCACTTCAATTGGCGCCCAACGTGGGGCACCGGATTTGCCGGCTCGGAGGGCCGGAAAGCAACGGACCGGAGCGGACCTCCGGAAAGTGGGACACCCGGAGCCTGATCACCTCCACCATACAGCCATTGTCTGTATACTCCTGTTTTGTGTCGGTCTGTCTCCGCGTCCTTCCGGCATCCAGAAGGCTACTAGACAGTTAATATCTTATCCGGTGCTCTTTTTAACGGACCTGTTGATTGTCTATCTGCCTCCTGAGTGCTCATGTGTGTGTGAGTGACGGCCGGTGTATGTGTTTCTTTTAAAGTTTTAGCTTGACTGCCTAGCGGGCAGGGAACGCGACAGCCGGTAAAGGGCTGGGGACCACCCTTGTAGAGGGTTGGGGAATTGTGACAGCGCTGGGGACCACCCGTGAAATCGGGTTGGGGAATTTTTGACAGCCTGGAATAAGGGGCTGGGAATGTTATTTGATTTATATTGCATTGTTTGATTATGTACATGGCCATATTGCTCTCTGTTATTTTGTGGATTTTGTTCAATTGTTGCTACAGTGTGGGTACCCTTGGTGTTTGTGTGTGTGTGTTGTATGGTTTGTTCTTGACTCAGGAGTGTACACTCATTTTTATATTTGTGATTTTTGCAAATGTCTAGTACTTAGTGTTGCTACCTTCACCTTCTCCCTCATTCTGTATCTGTCCTGTCTTTGTTGCCCAGAGCTGTGTTAGTCACCCACCCTCGCACCCTCCGGTCTGTGGCCACCACCCCCGGGTGTACAGACCATCGTGACTAGTCTACGTTTTGGGAAGACGCACGGGTCCTCCGTGGCAGTCGAGCACTGTAGACTTTCTTACTTTTTCTTCCCTCTCACTCGCTCCCCTCTACTCGGTAGACCACGCTTGGTCAAGATGGGGCAGGAACATGCTAGACCAGCTAAGGGACTGCTAGCTTGTGATATTGTGAAAGAGAGAGCAGGGGAGGATGCAGTGTTAAAGATCAAGAAAATTTCTAAGGTTTGTGGTTTCCAGTTGCCACCTGGTGGTAGATTGCAGCCTGAGTTTTGGAGGAAGTTGCTTGTGGATAAGGAGGGGTTATTGTCTGATAATGGGTTAACCAAAGCAGTGGAGGCTTGGTATCGAGTAGCTAGGGGATTAAAGCGGGAGGGTTGGATGGAGGAAGAGCTTGAGTTTGAGGGACAAACGCTGTATGTGTATCATCGAAATGTTTGTGATTCTAATGTTTCTCCTGATCATCCCGGCCACCGCCCTATGATGGCGCCCAGACCATGCTGAACAGCACCCGCCCATCTTCCCCAGTCCATGCACAGACGTCACCTCCTGGTGGCGTCACACATGGTCCCACCCCTTTGTGTCCCGTGCTTGGATCCGATGGTACCTATTACTACCCATTGCCATTGCATCCCTTTCCCCATGCCCCTTTGGCACGGCCGTTCTCTTCCCCAGATCCGGTCCCTCCCCAGAACCTAATGCCAGTCCCGCCCCAGCCCGGTTACCAAACCCAATCCCAGCCTCCACTACCTCCCTCGTTACCTCCTTGTTCACCATCCCTCCCCCAGACGCCTCCCACTCCTGTTGTCCCGCGTTCTGTACTCCCTACGTCAAACCATGACCCCACAGCTCCCGACCCTTGTCACTCCCGACACTCCCCTGGACCCGGCCCCTACAGTAATCCCTTCCGGTTCCCCTACCAACCTAGTGTCTTCCCTCCTCACAGCCCTTTCCGCTGCCCTCGAGCCTCCTCCTCCTCCTCCTCCTCCTCCTCCTCCTCCCCCTCCCTCACTTCCTGAATCCTCCCCTATTGTGGACCCACCTTCTCTTCCGGCTTCTCTCTGTACTGAGCTGTCTCCTCTCCTCTTCGCCCTCTCTACGTTGATCCAGTCACCCGCCCAGTCTCACATCACCCCCTCTGACCCGGCCCCTACACCCACCCAGATAGCTCCCAACCCAAGTCCCGCCTTTCCCCTCATGGTGGTTGGTTCTGAAGAACCTGCTACGTCAGCCAAACCCCATGCCATGGGCGTTTCTCCCGCGGCCTCAGGTTACCACCCCACAACGTCACAGCTGGGCAGTTCCCACAACATGTCACTTGCTCAGCAGACTCCCATCAGCCCGGCTGTTCCCGGTCCGATTTCCCTGGGCGCCGCCTCTCATCAGGACGACCATGTTGCTCCATGTGATGATGACCCAGATGGAAATGGCCTATCCCCACCCCTGGGTAACAGGTCCCTGACACAACCTGCAGCACGGATGCACCTCCATGTCCCCGCTCCTGCTACTGGGGCCCCTCCCATGTATGTCACTTTTAACCCCTCGCAGGCCGCCACCCTTGTCACCTCTCTTCCTGATCCAGAGAAACAACCCATGCCCTTTTACCGCAGAATGGCTCAAATTCGTAAAACCTACTCCGCAGCTTGGATGGATCTTTATAGTTTATGTGAAATCAAAGCAGGTGATGCCTATTGGCCTATTATGGAGAAAAGTTTTACCGATGCTTCACTTACCACAGATACAGATTTCCAGTCTGGTATTACATTCTGTGAACAGCTCCGTGCTTGGGCACGGGATAAACTGGCAGACCAGGCTACTTGTATTACAGACATTGTTCAAGAAAAGCTTGAATCAGTAGAAAAATATCACTCACGCCTTACACAAACCTTCTCTGACTTAGGGTTCAGTACTTACAATAAAGCACATACTCAGATGTTGTCTGCTGCATTTGTATCTGGTTTGAGGGAATCCATTCGCAAGGGTTTAATCCTTTCTCGCCCGAGTATCGTATTATTCCCCTAGACACACTTCTACTAGTTGCAAAAGGGTTAGAGTCAGTGGTGCAACCTACACAGAGAAGGGCAAATCCAATGATGTTTAATTCTCCCACCGTAGCTCCTGGGTCAGTGCCAGCAGTTGCCGGTTTCCATACATTCCCAACTGCGCCAACCCCTAACCGTGCTCAATTCCCTACTGTCAGGACTTGTTATAATTGTCACCAACCTGGCCATTTCCCCAGGGACTGCCCGCTACCTAGATACAGTAGACCATCGCTTCCTCGGTACCCCGGTCCTCCCTCTGCTGCCCATGGTTATCCTACACCAGGTTACCCTAGGTTCCCCTCGCACCCCCCAGCCCCCTATTTTCCCCCTCCTGAGTATTCCCCGGTTCCCCCACTGCCTACTGAGACCGGCCCCCAGGCTCCTGCTCCCAATATGGAGGAGGACCACCAAAGATCAACCCTTGTTAGGCCCACGCCTCCATCAACCTCTGCACGCCGTTATACCGGCCCAGATCAGTCCCATTTAGACTTGTTGCAATAGGTAATCGGCAAGCCTATGTCAGACGTCCCTGTTATGGCAGTGTCTTCAGGGGATGAGGGAGGGCCCCTAGCTACTGTAGTTCTTCCCGTTGAGGGTCACCCCACTACTTTCTTAGTTGACACAGGTGCAGCCCGTAGTGTTCTCAGAGAACAAGACCTGCCTGATCCCTCCTTTTTGTCTGACAT